TCTCTCATATATATATATATATATATATATATATATATATATAAACGATCATATGAAAATGATTAATTATTTTTTTATGTGAGAATGAGAATGTTCAATCTAATTTTTTATTTATTAAAATAGACAAATTTGATTAAAAAAATACAAATAAAATTAAGACATATTATTACAATTGAGTTATCTTTATTATTATTGTTATCATTACTCATAATTATTGTTGTTATTATCATCACAATAGTATAGAAAGACCAAATATTTCACGATAGAGATGAGTAGTGACAATAAAAATAATGATGATAGTTCCATAATGATGACAATTGTAATGATAATGATCTTGTAAACATTTATTATTATGAAATGACTACAATTATAGATGAACATAATTGAGATTAAAATTCAATTATAAATAATATGCTATAAAATTATTATTAGTGTCATCTTTATTATTATTACAATCATCAATATTATTATTATTATTATTATCATTATTATTATCATTATCATTATTATTATTATTGTTGTCACCATGTGATTGAAGTAAAAATGATATACACACGTAGGTTTAAGTTTTAATCATAATAAAATTTTAGGTTTTGATCATAATAAAATTACGGATTTCATTTGTGATCCGTGAGAGCATTAGGCACAGAGATTCTAAATTAGAATTTGATTGATGTTATATTTATGGAGTAATTATAAATCTTTCTTTGATAGTATCGTTTTACTAATCCTTTTGCTCATTTTATTTACCAATTTTCTGAAGACATTCGTGAGATTAGAAAATTAACAAATGATCTTGGTTATTGAAATAAAATAGACGTCTATTACCCATTGAATTACTCAGGTAAAATGATGTATATCCAATCCATAGGTTCAAAGTTTAAAAGAAATTGCGGTGTGTTTCATTCATTAAAAATTATGTTGCAGATCATGTGAGGATCGATGATTCAATACTTTTGGAACTAATCATGTGAAGGAAATACTCATAGTTGTAATTTTCATAATATTTATCGGTCAAGAACACGGTATCAAAGCTTTTGAATAATGTAATGAAAAAAAAAAACAGAGATAAAACTTACGTTACCTCAATTTGAATATCAAGAAAAAGAAACAAATAATAATATATTCATATTTTACTATTTTTTCCAAATCATGTTTATAATTTTAAGGAATTATTATTTTATGAAACTTAGAGTAGATTTATATAAAAAAAAAACTTTCTTAAAATTTGTTGTCTTAATATGAATTCAAAAAATTACTAATATGAAAATTGATTGGCTCCATTTGGGATGAAAAAAGAACATTATTTTAGCGATTTATTAATTTATTAAATATACTAGTTTAGAGATTTTTAGCTGTACTTTATTTAAAGATAAATAAGAAAGTCATCAAAAAATTTTTTTAAAAAAATACGCTATGTATCTACTTTACACTATCTCCCAATAACAAAACACTAATTATGATAATTTTTTTAAACCTTGATTAATTTTTTAACAACAAATTACTAATATACACAAGATTTTAAATTTAAACATTGTTATAATTTTTGTAACACACCTTAATGTTAAATCAAACAACATGTTGAATTTTACAATAATAATCTTAAAAAGTAAGAGTGATTTTTGTTTGAATAACCTAAAAAAATCAAATGTATGATCATTAAAAAAAAATTATGAGACGTTTATTTCATGGATTACAAGTTTATTTTCAAAAATATTTTAATTAGAATATTATTCTCAGACACATTTAGAAAATATATTTGGTTGCACCCTAATATTTTTTTGAAATATTTTTAAAATTAAAAAATAATTTAAATAAAAAATAAAAAAAGGGAATATCATTTTCTCACCCTCTCAACATGAGTATAAAAATGTAGAAAAATATAACAGATAAACCTTCTCAAAAATGAATAATACCCAGAAATGATTTTTTAAAATTTGTAACAACCATAGTAATGGTACATTCTTATAGTTATATTCTGAATAATGAACTTGTAATATGTAAAATAAACCTCCTTATATATATATATATATATATATATATTTTCTTTGAGCTAGTCACGATTACCCGATTTAAAAGAGGGGATAGTGATAGATATCTGTAACATGTTTTCAAAATGGTCCAATCTGGTTAACTGCCCTAGTTATCATGTATTCAAGCATTAAATTAGCTCCTTCTTTGTAGTCAAGAATGAGGAGGTCATGTACCTTTCAATGCTCATTATTTGGTGACTCACTGCCACTTCCGCCCCACGTCTAGTGTTGACATTTTAGCCTCACTTTGGAAAAATCCCTCCCTATATGTTAAATATGGAGGAAACACCCATTTCTTTTCTGATTTTGAAACCCACTTTCTCATGTTGGTTTCAGGAAATAAGAAAATTTCTCAAATAAATTTTTAAATTTAACTATTTTTTGTTATTTTAGTTTCTGAATATATACCAATATTATCATTTTGGACTTTTGTGAATTTATATTTTCAAGAACTTATTTTACCTTTTCTTAATTTTAGGATCGAATCAATATAATAATATCTTTCAAATTTAGAAATTAATTTGAGTGTTTACTCATTAAATATGTGAATAACTATATTGTGCTAGAACTTTTGTAAGGAATATTCTTCAATTAAAGTATTTTTAATTTTTTTAAACTTATTATCTAATTCAAGTTTTAGTCTTTATATTTAAATTTTGTTAAGAAATTTATCAAATATTATTGTATAAAATCTATTTATTGGTATCTTTATTAGTGAAAACGTTACATTAAATCCGATTGATATTACATAATCATCTCAATTTATCATTTTCATATATGTTATTGGTGGCCTGAGAGACTAAAATAATATTTTTAAAAATTAGAGACTAAAAGCAATAATTTTAAATTTTAGGGGTCGAAAATAAATTTATCTTAAATTTGAGGAATTAAAAACATATTTAAACCTAAACCCTAAACCCTAAACATAAATTATTATAATCAACTCTTATAAATTAAATGTGAAAAATTATTTTACGTGAGAGTCTTTTTAGGACTTATATTTTGACCAAAACTTTTTTAGAAATTCTTTTAATTTTTTAGCTAATTTAATTTTTTTTTATCAATCTCTATATGTAAAACACGTATGACTATCTTGCATAAAAATACTTTTAGGAACTTTTCTTTTACAAGAGAATTTATAAAAAAATTTAACTTCATATCTAACTTGATTTTTATTTATCATAATTATTTATAAATTAAAATTTAATATTCTTAAATAATTATCATTAAATAAAAAATTGTGTTACAATATAAATTATTTATTACAAATCTAAAATATTATTTATATATTCAAATACAATATTTATTTTATATATAATTTAGGCTTAAATATGTTTTTAGTCCTTCAAATTTAGGGTAAATTTGTTTTTTGTCCCTCAAATTTAAAATTGTTATTTTTAGTCGATGTAATTTCAAAAAATCTTATTTTAGTCTTTATATTCAAATTTTGTTAAGAAATTTATCACATATTATTGTATAAAATCTACCTATTAGTGTCCTTATTAGTGAAAAAATCACATTAAATATAATTGATATTATTTAACCATCTTAATTTGTCACTTTCAGATATGTAATTGGTAATCTAAGGGACTAAAACAAGATTTTTAAAAATTTCTGGGACTAAAAATAACAGTTTTAAATTTGAGGGACCACAAAATAAATTTATCTTAAATTTAAGCGACTAAAAACATATTTAAGCCTATAATTTATTATAATTTTTAATTATATAATAAATATTTAATATGTAAAATACACATATTAAAATATTTGCATCAAGTTAAACACAATTCATGTTTCGTTATTAACCTATAGTTTTGGAATGTCGAAATAGAGATCTAATGCCTATCATATAAACAATAAATCAGACACACTTATATGATGTATAACAGATTTATCAAAGCAGGTGAGAAATTTTTTTAATAATAAATTTAAGATAGACATTAAATTATATAATCATTGAATATATATATCATAACAAAACTTAATTAAAAGAGGGATTCTACAAGCTGGAGATGGATTCTGTATTTGGTGTGGCCATGATCGGGAGACATTGTCTCATTTATTTTTTTAAATGCCCTTTTGCTTATTGCA